GGGTCCAGGGGTGGACGATCTCGCTGATGGGGTTAAGGGAACCGTGGCATTCAGATGTATCAGGCCGGAGGCTTCCAGCAATCCCAATCTCAGGTTGTTACCTGGATGATCAGCTCCCAGGTGTTCCAGTATTGGCTCCTGGGACAGCCCATCTGCAGGCCAGCCACATGTTTTTGATTGTAAATGAGACATTGTCCATGAGAACTGGCTTAGGTGAAACTGAATATGGGGAGGGGTGACAGGCTTCAGCGCTGGCGTGTGCGTATTTATACTAAATAAATATTACATATATCAAATCATACCTCCTAATTCAATATAATAATATTTAATTGGTGCAAATTATAATCATACATATCAATTTCACAATTATAATAATGCAGAGGGACGGGGGTTACATTATCCATTGCTAGGGGGGGCTCCTGCATCCCTTAGCAGACCCCTGCCTTGCAAACCAAAACATCCCCATCCCTCTGTGCCACTGTGTGAGGAGGAGGGAGGGAGGGAACTGGGGGTAAAGTATAGCCCAGGAAGAAAAAAACAGGGTGGAGAAGGTGCATATTTAGGATTTGGCACACTTCTCCTTTTTTTGCTCTGATTTGTTCAATAATAAACTCAATTAAGTCCGGCCTCATTCCCCAGTTACACCCATGGTGGGTGACAGATCTCTCGCTGCCTTTCCTGAGCCCCTCGAGCCTTCCCTGCTGTGTCCTGTGCCTGCCCAGGGGCAGGAGGAGAGGCACAGAGCGGCTTTGCTGGCCCCGGGTCCTGGCCCGGCCCAGCCCAGCCCCAGAATCCCTGCCAGAATTCCCTGCACCATTTCCCGGCCCCACGGCGGCTCCGGCTCCACAGGCAGGCGGCTCCAGGAGTTCAGAGGGGTAAAAAGGGACCGAGGGAGAGGAGGCAGCTGGAGCCAGGGGGGGAAATGTCTTTGCTGCGAGCTGGCAGGGAGAGGAGGAGGAGGGAGAAAGTGATGCAAAGTAAAGGGGAGAGAAAGAGGGACAAGGCTGGAGCAGTGGAAGGAGGCGAGGATGCCATGGGACAGGCGGGCATTTTGCTTTCCAGCTGTGTGGGAGGAAACCGAGAGCTCTCAAATCCGTGCAGGAAAAGAGGGGAGAAATAGCAGGTGGTGGGAATCGCTGACAATTGGGATTCATTTTATCTGCCTGAGCTGCAAAGGCCGACAGACCCCGAGCACTGCCGGCGTTGTGATGTGTCCTGCCCTGCCCCTGCCCTGGCTGCAGCCGCCTGGTGAGACGGGCCCTTGTCTCCAAAGGAGCTGCACTGAGGGATGGGTTTGTGGCTGCTGGAATAGGATCTAGAGAATAAAATAAACAGAACCTAAGCTGCTTTGCTGCTCATAAGTCCATGGGCCCAGCTGGGAACAGAGCTGGCCCAGCACAGAGCCCCGGGGGACACCACTGGTGCCTGTCCCCAGCTGGGTGCAGCACCCTCACCACCACTCTCTGGGCCGGCCATGCAGCCAGTTCTGAGCCCAGCACAGAGCGCTCCTGGCCCAGCCGTGGGCTGCAGCTTTTCCAGGAGTGTGCTGTGGGAGACAGAGCCAAAGGCCTTGCTGGAGCCCAAATAGACACATCCACAGCCTGTCCTGCATCCACCAGGAGGTCACCGGGTCAGGGAAGGAGACCAGGCTGGTCAGACACACCCTGCCACCCCTAAAGCCCTGCTGGCTGGGTCTGATGCCCTGGCCATCCTGCAAGTGCTGCCTGATGAAATCCATATAAACTGTTCCATGACCTTACTGGGTACTGAGGCCAGGCTGACTGGCCTGTAATTCCCAGGATCCTCCTTCCCACCCTTGCTGTCAATGGTGTCACACTGGGCAGCTTCCAGCCACCTGGAACCTCACCAGTGAGCCAGGGCTGCTGGTAAATGATGGAGAGAAGCTTCCCAAGCTCATCTGCCAGCTCCCTCATCCCCTGGGGTAGATCCCATCTGGGCCCATGCATTTCTGAAAATCCATCAGCTCAGCAGTTCTCTGACTGCCTCCCCCTGGAGAACAGGGCCCATTCTGCTCCCTGACACCATCTACCAGCCCAGGAGGACACTTGTGCTGAGGACAAGCCCTCTTCCCACTGAAGACTGAGGAAAAGAAGGTGTTGAGCACCTCTGCCTCCTCCTCACCTGCAGTTACTAAGTTCCTTCCTGCATCCAAAAGAGAACAAAAGGTGGTCTTACCCTTCCTTTTACCATTAATACATTTGTAAAAACATTTTTTATTATCCTTTACAAAAAATTCCAAATTAAGTTCTAACTGAGCTTTGGCCTCCCTAATTTATTTCCGACATACCCTAGCAAGCCCTTTAAATACTTCCTGAGAAACCTGACCCTCTTTCCAAAGCTGATACGTCCGCCTTTTATTCCTAAGTTCCTTCAAAACCTCATTGCCCATCCATGCTGTGCGTTTGCCTCATTGACTCATCTTTGGGCACACAGAGACAGGCTTTTCCTGTGCCCTCAAGATCTCTGGTTTGAAGCATGCCACCTTTCCTGGACTCCTTTGGTTTTAAGGGCTG